AGGGGGGTGTTCCCCCTCCCCCGCCCCCTCCTGGGTTGGCGGAGCTCCCCGTCCTCAGAGAACCGCCCCCCCTCATATGGCGCCTTTCCGCGGGCAGTATCCCGCGCCCGGGAGTGCCCTGGGTAATTAATCGCCCCTTCCGGCTAATCAGCCCTCCCGGCTAATTACCGACAAGTGACAGGAGCACAGGCGGGACGTCCCCGCCGGGTTCCCCGGACAGGACAGAGAAACTGACGATTGCAATAGAGGTGCCCCAGAAAAAGGATGTGAATGGACTGGAATCCATCAATCAACAAACAGACAAATAAATAAATACCTACAAACATACAGACACACCAGCGAAGGGGCAGAAGCCAGATAACGCCTCCCGCGGGACATATTCCCTTGGGAAACAGCCCGAGGGGGGACGGGGGCGGTGACAGGGACGCGTGTCCCCAACACGCTCCAGATCCCACGCGTCCCTTCCCGGGGGAACACACGGCTGCCCTCGCCCCTCCGCTCCGAACCTCAGCATTTTCGGGTGGCAGCAGCCCGGCTCCCGTCCCAGTGACAGCACGGGCCGGGTGCGACCCACCGCCCTGCTCAGGGACCACAGCCACCATCATCTAAAAATAAACCTCGCGATCACAGAAACGCTCGCGTCTTGTTTTCATTGCGGATTATCTGGGTTCCAAAAACCAGTTACAGGCACTCCGGTGTTTTTGGGGTGGGTAAACGCCCCAGTTTTCTGGCCCGTGGCAGAGGGACAGACGCGACAGCCGCCCTGCCGCCACCACCTGCGGTGTCCCTGCCCGTGGAACAAAACGAGCTTTAAGGTCCCTTCCAACCCAAGCGCTCCGATTAAACCCCCGCAGCCGCCTCGGGCGAGGTGCTCCCTGCCCTGGAGTCGCTCTGGCACTGGTGACCAGCTTAATTCCCCGGCACGCTCGGCTGAGCATTCCCCACCCCCTTGCAACTGCCTCCTGTTCCAGGAAGGAGCGCACGAGCTTTCGCCTCACTTTTCACACAGCTTTCAGCAGCTCCAATGTCATTGCCTAGGCGACCGGGACGCTACTAGATCGTAGTGCAGTAAATAACGTAGATCCTCTATCCCAGGCCACTCCTGTCTGCGGGACACCTCCGGGGGAACTCGAAACGCAGGTAGGAGGAAAAAAACCTAGAAAAGGAAACCCCTTGCTATTCGCGTGTGCGAGTTTCTCGGCACGACCCTCTCCGGAGCACTCGATAACGTGCCTGGAAGGTGATTCGCGGCCACTTGGCTTCGTGGGCTTGTTACACAGTGTTGAAGTGTCTTGGAAAGTTTGCTCCCAAGTGCCTGAGATTGGAGTAAAAACGGCCCAGCCTTGAGTGGGAGAAGCAGTGGAGGGGCTGGATCCCGGTGGGATGCAGGGGCTGGCTGCCACAGCCAGGTCTCTGCACAGCCATGAGGCTGCCAGGGAGAGAGAGAGAGCAGCTGCCTCAGCCTCCTGCCCTGCCACGAGCTACCTGTCAGTGACTCCATCCAGAGAGGATTTCTGTCCAGCCTGCCTTCTCCTTGGAAAGTAAATAGTTAATAACCTGCTGCACCCCAAGGAGGGCTCCTGAGATTCAAGTGTGCTGTGGGAAAGCTCACTCACTCGCTCTTCATTGCTTTTACAAACCTCATTTTGCAGGTGTGGATTTAATAATCCTGGACAAACTAACCATAGCATGGGGCAGCACTGGCACCCTGGGACTGGCAGCATTTTGCAAATATTGAGTTGTTTGCTGTGGGCTGGATAATCCCAATGGGTCTCGTTGTGCAGAGGAGAGAAGGTCCAGGACTGGTTCCCAAGCCATCAAGCTTGGAGTATAAGAGGTAGCCATGGCTCTCAGAAGTCCTCCTCTCTCAGGATGGGCAAAGAGTCCTTAGGAATTACTCATAGCCCTGTTATACAGAGTTTGGGCATTTATCTCCCTTTAAGGTGGCTGCAAAATGCCATCACGTTTCATCCTGGGCTGGAGTGGCAGCACAGCAGTGAATTTGTTATCAATAGCACTGGGCATTTCTAGGGGCTCACCCCGAGCTTTAAAGCTGATGGTGAGATCAAAGATGCTCCCTCTAGAGAGTGCAGAAACTCAGCATCCGGGCAGTGCTGTGAGACCCCTTCGCTTTCCTCACAGTGCTGAAAGAAGGAAGTTGGGTTTATAATCATTCTAAGAATATATTGGGGTCTGCGGTCAGAACACGAACCGTGAGTGAACTGTGGTTGGATATACAGAGGTTCATCAGCTCTGCTTCTCCAGGGTTCTCCCACTTTGGGGTGGCTCTTGGGACCTTGGTGTGTGTTTTTCCTTCTCCCTCTCTCTCTGGGGCTTGGGGGGAAAGAGCTGCTTCAGCTGGCCTGGGGCTAACTTGGCATTTCAGATATAGCCAAAGCCACAGCAGTGGGGAAAATTGAGTACACTGAGCTTTTCCATACTAATCTTTGGAAATTACTTCAGTGGCAGTTCACAGGGAAGGGGCATGCACGGGAGGAACCGGTCCCACTGCGACCCAGCCGGGTCCAGCATCCCGGGGGTGGCAGCCCTGCCATGGGCTGAGTCCCAGGGCGAGGGGAGGTGGTGATCACCTGTTCTCAGGCTTTCTCTCCCTGCTCCTGGCCTCTTTTCTCGTGTGCAGTTTTCCTGCAATGCCCTGACTAGCAACAGAGGGAAGCAGCAACCCAGCAATCGCTGGAGCCGGCTCGGGGAGGTGCAGGGACAGCAGCTCTCCCCGTGAACACCGGCAAATCCCACCTGCAGCCTTGCATCCCATCACCAGCCCCTGGCTTTGCACGTTTTGGTCCCTCTTCCTCTAGAAACCTGCAATAAATCCAGCGCAGGTCCCTCCCGAGCTATGCCAGTCATGCCAAGCATCTCCTGCCACCTCCCTTCAGCCTCAGGGCAGAAGGGATGGAGAATTCCTTGCTGCCCTTCCCTGGACAAGGAGATCTTCACTTTAATAGGCAGTTTGAGGTCTCTGGAGGTGATAAATACTCTTGGTGGGGTCTGACTGCAGAACTCTTACTGGCAGAAGTGATATTCCAGGTCTTTCCTTTGGTGTGGGAAGCTGGTGACAGCAGGGAGCAGACACAGCACAGAGCTGGAATAGCCTCCAAACTGGGGGGCTGAAAGGGGCAGGGAGCTGAACATGAGGCTCTAAGGCTCCTCCCAGTTCATCTTTAATTTAGCTGTGCCACAGGGCTCCCACTTCTTCCCACAGGGTGTCTTTTCCTTCTGCTGGGTCTCACCATCACCGTGGTTTCCCACCTTCCCTGAAGGGGAATGTCTCCACCATTCATTGTGCAATGGGGCTCTAAATGGCACCTCCTTTCACATGGAATTACATCAGCACCGTGCCAATTTTGGGGAACCCTATTTATAAGTCTTTTGTGATTCTTTACCATCCCAGATGCCCTGTGCCAGGCTGTCAGTCTTGCTGCAGAGGTGCTTTTCCAGGATGAGCCGGGATCCCAGCAGAGGGATGTGCCTTAACCACACTACTCTGGAGTTTAGAGCTCAGATGTGAGAAGCTGGCCTGGCTTTGCTTGTGCAGGTTGTGCTTTGAAAGAGAAAGGGAACTTCCAAAACGCCCTTAAAACAGTCAGATTTCTTTCCTTTTGAGAACGAGAGCAGCCACGTGGTTAGAGCTGGTGTCACCCGTGATGACCACACAGCCGGGGCGGTGCAGAGGTGCTTTCTCTGCTGGAGGGAAAGGCCTGGCTTCTTCCTGAAGCTGCCCCGGGCCAGGGAAAGCAGCATGGACGCAGGGTAAGGCCACCAGCAGTCGCCTGCATCTGTTCTAGGCTTTTCCTTCTCTCAGAGCTGTCGTGTAGGTACTTTCATTTCTCTGTGTGTCACACGTGGGGCGAGGAGGGACGGGAGGACACCAGACTCTCCCTGTGAGCTATCCTGGCATGGGGCCCGTGGCACAAGGGCCCTCCTGTGCTGTGGGAAACCCTCAGGGAACAGCAGCTGTGGATGCTGTGTCTTGTAGAAAGCTCACAGGATCTGCTGACGGGGAAAGCTAGCCTGCTTTCGTTTTAACTCCCTTCCCTGCAGGCACCCAGTCCCCAGCTGAGTCAGAGGGGCCTGGGAGATCCTGAGCATCCCTCAGTCCGAGAGGAGCTGCCCTCGACTCAGCAGCTCACACCCCAAAAGCAGGAAGTTTCAGGTTTTCACTATGAGATGTTGAAGTTGAAACGAGACGCTAAAACCAGCGCGGGTAAAAGGAGCAGCCAGATGTGCCTGAGGTACATCCACGTCAGCCAGGGCAGGGAAGCGCTCCTGCTGCTTCCAGGGAGCGGGTAAGGAGGAGGAGGACGGTGCCGTGGCAGGACTGCCCGCCCAGGGAGGCAGCGTGGGGCTCAAGATGGCTCTGGGAGACTCCCCGCTCGGGCTGCTGGGCCAGAGAGGCTCCGGGAGCACAGGGAGAGCCGAGCTGTGTCCTGTGCCTCCTCCGGCACCTGAGAGAGGCCAGGAAACGCTGCCCAGGGGCGAGGGGAGGGCAGTGGGCTGAGGAGGACTCCGGGTGTGACTGTGCACAGCCCTGGGAAGGCTTTGGCTGAGGAACGGGCTGTACCGCAGCTCCCCGGATGCACCTTCTGGCCAAGCTCAGGTCACGCCCTGCACACCCCCAGGCCTGCAGCTGCTGGGGCTGGGGGGCTCTGTCCCCCCCACGGGCCCTGGGCAGCTCCGGTCCCTGCTGCAGTGAGCTGGGCCTGGGGGACTCCTGCCCTTGGCCGGGTGCTTTGTTGGCTCAGCACGGCACAGCACACTGACACTGCTAACCTGCTGCTTCTCTTTGCCCCCAGAGTGGTTTATCCTCTGTCAGACTCCCCCATTGCCAAGATGTCCCAGTCACCTCCAGCTGACGAAGGCAGCACGTTCGCCCACCTCTGGAGCACTCTGTAAGTGGGGGGTCATTTCCCGTGAGGGGTGTTTGGAAGCAGGAGCAAACAAGTTCCTTTTGCATCCTCTGCTCTCCACAGAGGCCTTTGCCACACCAAGAATTTTGCTCCCAGATTCCAGCCTCTCTGCTCAGCCCATTTCATTTGCCAAAGTGTCGTTTGAAACCAGCACACAAACACACGTGGCACTGTCTCATGGAGGGCTCCTTTTTTTGTTGCAGTGCTCCAGGGCTGCATGGAGACGGTGTCAGGGCCAGAGCAGAGGTCCACTTAACCTAGGACCCTTCATTCCAGAATTAAACATCTTCCAGCCCCACCAAGATATTTGCAAGTTTTCTGGCCTTTGAGCCTCATGCTCTAATAAAGCAAAGGAGAAGGACTGTCCTTCATTCCATCCTTTCTCCCTTGGTATCCTCTCATGTAAAGACATCCCAAGGTGACAGATATGCCACAGGAGCTGGGTGGATGCACAGCTTCCCAAGTCTCTGCCAGGCAACAGTTTGCCTGAGCAAAGCCTGCTCTGCCACCTGGGAATCAAAGCAGAGGATGGAGGGAGGAGTTGGGAAGGTGACAAGGTTCAAGAGGATTGTGAGTTGCTGGGTGGTGGTGGTGGCAGGGGTGTTAGAGAGCTGGGAAGATGACTGTGCCCTCACCTTCTCCTCAGGGAGCCAGACAGCACCTACTTCGACCTCCCTCCAGCCACCCACGCCGGCAGCAATGAGGTCTCCAACCAGACAGAGGTCACCATGGACGTCTTCCAGATGAGAGGCATGAATGACTCGGTGATGGTGAGTGTGCTCAGGTGGCACCTGCACCAGACACAGACTCGATTTCCCCACAGGGGTGGGCTGGGGGCTCTGGGGGAGGCCGTGGGGAGAACAGCCACTGCAGGTGTGGCACTGCTGGCACTGGTGCAGGGTCTGATCACCTGTGGCACAGGGCTCAGTAAAACCATGGCTACTCAATGCTGGACAATATCTCTGCACACAGCAGCGGGGGCTCAGCGCTGTAAGGGCAGCAGAGCTCGAGTCCCACGACAGGAACAGGGAGTCATTTACTCTGGTACAAATGGTGTGTAG